TATCCATTCTGAGATATTGTTTAATATTTCAGAACAGAAAATAAAGAAATTAAACAAATTAGATGCCAACACACGCGCGCGTGCAAATTTTTCCTCTTTTATTGACTTTTTTGGGGGTTCGGGAGGTCTCCAAACGTGTAGATTTGCAAAAGAAACATGGAGGGTCAAATTTGACATGATTTCAATATTTTTCCATTGTATATACATAACAAGTTGGGAAGTAAAAAGGAGTCGGAGTCTCTCCGACTCTGGCTAAAACACTAAAACTCCATGACTCCGACTCTGCAGCCCTGGTCATATCTCAAGTAAAGTTGGACTTATTGACAATTTTACTCATTATTAGCATTTACAATTTCTTATAAAACCCATCCCTATTTTCAAAATTAAGCTTTTTGCCATTTTATAATAATTAAAAATGTAAAGATGTTTAACAAAATATCATAACAGATAGTGCCACCAGAATTTTAAACATTGCAGGAAAAATTAAGCAATTCGTTGCTGGATTTTTTACATTTAAATGGACCCACATTACTTTTCTGGATTCCTTGTCTCAATTAATGAAAAATGGAAAAGTTTTATCAAAATCAATACATTAAATTTTGAGAATAAACTTGATTCTATAAGCCCATACAAGACCTGCTAGCAACTATAAAACATCACACAACTTTGTCATGCAATTTATGCAAGATTGCTTTGCCATGTGTGCTCGTGAAGCAATGTTATATCTCAAAAATGAAGTCATGGGCCTTCATTTTTTATTGCATTTTTGGATTCCGCATTGTAATTAATGGAAAATGGCAAAGTTTAATCAAAATTGAATGAATGAATTTTGAGAACAAATACAATTCTGTAAGCCTCATAGAAGAAGCTTTGCTAACACTCCACTTCAATTAAGCAAGACAATATTTTATTGAGTTGAGTCATAAATAATGTTAGTTAAACCATTTAATTCTATTGGTGTATTACAAGTTTTCTTTGCATTCATCTTTTAAATAAAATTTGTCAATTACATAAGTTTTATTAGTTGATCTGTTAGTAAATTTTGTTACAATTTTATAAAATTTGCTTGTTAGCAAATTTCAAATAAGCTGTTCAGGAGAACATTTATAACAGGCAATGCTGGATAAAACTATGAATGTAATTGTTTTTGCTTTTTGCCCTTAATTTCATTAAATGTTTCTACTAACTTAAACCAGCTATTTATGTTAGGGCTTATCACACCAGTGAATATGAACACAAAAATTTCTTAAATATTTGTAAACTTAAAATATATATTAAATTTTAAAAATTTTTGTGTTCATATTCACTGGTGTGATAAGCCCTAACATATATAGCTGGTTCAAGTTAGTAAAAATGTTCTATGAATGTTACTGTCATAAACAATATTTGTGAAATTTATTTGTGATGATCCATATTTGGAAGTGTTAATGATAGTTCAAAAAAAATTAAAATCAGAAATTTTCAATTTGATGAGGAGTTTCCTTCTGGATAATCTTTAGCACTAGAAAATACTGATGTTTATTCTGCAGTAGTGAAAGCTGCTTCAAAAATTACCACTCGAGAAATTGCAGAGAAGTTTGAGTCTCACCATCAACTGCAGTAAAGAGATTATACAAACCAAACCAAGAATGGTAAACAAGTATGATGTACACATGCTGTACCAACTTACTGATCATCATCTTTTGGATAGAATATCTATTTATATATATTTTTTTTGATAATGGTAATTTAATGGTAATTTGGTAATGGTAATGGCAAATACCATTTCTAGATAGAATCATTATTGGAAATGAGAAGTGGAGTTTATATTCTAATGTCTTATGTAAAAAAAACTGACTGGATCCAAAGGCATCAACCAAAAGCTTCCTCAACTAAAGTGTAATCATTATCCAAGAAACGCATTGCTGTGCATATGATGGGATATAAGAGAAATAATTCATTTTGAGCAGATTAATCCTGAACAAACAGTGAATTTAACTTTGTACTATTAACAGTTAGAGAGAGTAAATAAAAATATTCAATAAATGTCCATATCTGGCAAACATTCTGCTCCATGACAATGCTAAACAAGTAAAACGGTGAAACCATTTTTTGAATGAGACTATGTCTTGGAAAGCACAAGCAACACATGCAAAATCTCACTCTCATGCTTGTTTGTAGAAACAGTCTCAGAATTTCATATTTTCTTTTGACCCAGTTCTCGGTCCCCTGACTACCTACAAGTCTGATTTATTTTATGTGCACATGGTTTAGCACATAGTATTTGGGCAACAAATACTCTAAGCCAAATTGCAACTTCCGACATGTGCTCCTACATACCTCTAAGGTGTGTAGCAGTTGACAGAAGTGCAATTTTAGAGACGAGACATAGTCTTGTCGATCACATGCTGCAATAACCACCTAGCAAAATCTCACAGTTAGGAAGTTTTACTTCATTTCCCTTAGAGCCCAAATTTATGACCTTCAGATTTGAGACTTTTGTGCTGAAATCAGATTACCATCTGATTTCAGCGCAAAAGTCTCAAAGGAAACAACAGGTTTTAGTTCAAGTACAGTTACACACAGTAACTTCATTTTTTTTAGCTCAAAATCAACTAACTTTTATAAAAGTGGTATTGAAAAACTGGTGCAACAGTGGAAAATTGTCAAATCAAATAAATACTATACACTAGATTAAATACATACTATTTCATACAATAAAACTATTTTACAGTTTACACAAAAAAATGTCATTACTTATGACTCAATGTAATGTAACCAAACTTTCAAACAAAGCAAAACTATCACCATCATTCATTATTAGTCTCCTTGTTTTAAAAACAATGTCCCAAATAGGAAATAAGAATATTAGTTTATGTTCTCATTATTTTTGTATACATGCTAGATATAGGATAGAGTGCAAAATTCCTTGATTTGCTATGTATGGTATGGTATGGTATATATATCCAGGAGTATATAAGTTTAACAGTGAATTATTAGTCATTCCTCAAAGTTTATTTCAACATCTTACATAAGTTCAGCTATATCGGCACTAATTCAAAGAGCTGATATAATTCCTCTGCAATTAATTTTACCAATTGTGAAAGAGACATTGAATTGGATTGTATCTTGTTAGTTGTTGTAAAAGTGGAATATATATTTAATAAACTTAATTTTCTAAATCAAAGAGTTCTGCGCTCTATCCTATATCCAGCATCATAAAAAAACCAGTGTTAACCTACACCTACTATTAATAATGTCTTTGTTCATCTAATAATTACTATATATACAGGCATATAAGTTATCTCAAGACTCAGCTCAAAATACTGATTTTGACTTACATATGGCAAGTGGTATATATTAAAATGCCCTGCAAATATATGGTTGGCTACAAACTGAACAGAACTGAAATGAAAACACAGTATATGGTAGCCTACAAAGAAAAGATATAGTAAGGTTACAGTCACTTTCATCAAAACACAATACACAGTATTAACCTGTAACGATCATAATATAATATTAATGAAATGTTAAACAAGTTTACTAAATAAAAATATTTTGTCAAATAGTTTTAGTGGTCTGCTAGAATTACAATAAGTGTTACACAATAATCTTAAGAAGTGTCATTTCATTTGTTTACCTATCTGTGATAAAAGTTAGCATTTTATACCTGCCATACAAGTTGATAAGTATTTTTGGAGACTTTTTCAAGTTTAAACAGTTGACTTATACACTGACATACTTGGTAAGTGCTTTAAGCAAAAAGTTTTTTTATCATAATTTTATTTTCATTCACATTTTAATCTAACTTATAACAAATTCTAATGTTTATATTTTGTTACTACAAATAAAAACATTGTTATGCAAATTACCATTAACATTATTTTGAGCAAATAATAAATAAGTTTGTATAAAGAAATAATTTAATTGACTAACTCTTATAGACACATTGAATCTTGTTCTTATAAGTTCTTAAATGCATTTTATGGATTAAGTCTTGAAACATAACTGCCATATCTTATATTTGCGAGATCTGAAAGGCCCCCGGGTCTAAAATAGTAATTTTAGTAATAATGTTAATATTTTGTTATAAAATATTCTTTCGTTTGGGTGAGAAAAATAATGTTTTAGAATGGGAAAAATAGATAACAGATGCTACTTCCTTCTAGGGACGTTAGAACATCCTCTGTTTTTCCCTTATCTGCGAAAAACCTCGCTTTGATGGGAAATGGTTACCCCTCACATATTCCCCTTTCATCCGTTCCCACAGAAGAATCTTTGTATGATGATTGGTCGCCGATCATCACATATAAAGGAAATTTATCAGAATTCGGGGAGTTTATCGACAGACCTGGAAGAGTCAGGACTCCACATATTTTTCTCCTGATGGCCAACGCCCTTAGACGAGTCACATAGAATAATTCCAGAGTTAGCGCTTAGAAGATATACTTTGATTTTGTGCACATATCGATCTCCCAAGGAATGAAGTTTGAGAACTTTATAAACGAAGTGCTTTTGCCTACAGAGAAGAAGACGAACGACAACTAAAACAGGTTGTATGTTTATTAAAGATTTTGTGAGCTCTCTCTCTCGATCGCGTATCGGTTAGATATAAGTCCATATTTCTCTCAACTTATAGTCTGTAAAATATATTGGTTGTCTCACTATCATATATTTGTATCTGCTTTTATTCGTTTATGTTTAATTAAATTTATTCTTGTTTACTTGTCAAAGAATGTCTCTGAATCAGATCTATAAAAGAATCACACGCGTGTTTGTCCGCGGATCGATTAATTGACAAACTGGTGTCGGGAACCTGACAATTTGGATAGAGACTTCATAGTCTTTAATCCTACCGCCTTCCTATGTAAGTTTTAAGATCAGATCTAGTGATCTGAAACTTTGGAGACAGTTTTCGGATAATCTGTGCCGATTAAGTGGTACGAACAATCCTAAACGGAGTTGTACCCCTGGCTACTACCACATATTAAATCAATTAAAAGATTTAAATTTATACATACTTTGGTTTATTAGGCACTCCAGGTGGTACTTTACCTTCTTGCCTATATTTTTCTTGAATATTTTTTTCTTCCAAATGACTGAAAATTAAACCCAAAAATATATAAAATCATCATATGAAATATACTAAATGTGTCATAATTGCGAAACAGCTTAAAAATACAATTATGACAATATATTATGACAAAGTTAAATAATAATTTAAAATTCAAAATAAATTTATAAATACAAACAATTTAATATTATATTCATCAATGAAAAGAAATACTTACAATGTTATTGATTCTCCATTTCTAGCTAATTACATTTTAAGTTAAATTTCAAAAGTAACTAAAAATTACAATGTTTGATTTTAAATCATACACCAAATCTATTTTTAATAGTTAATAAATAAACGACTATTAGATTCCAGCAAAATTCAATTTAACAGATAACATTTTTAACTATACTTTAATGGACATCATCTGGTACATGTTTAGAATAACTATAAATGGAACATCATAATTCAAAGAATAAATAAATAAATCATATTTTTTCAATTATGCTGTTCTATTTATTTATTCTAAACAAGGACTTGATGATTGCCATTAAAGTATAGTTGAAAATGTTAGTTCTATTAAATTGAACTTTGTTGGAATTTAATGGTAGTATGTTTATCAATTTTGTTTCCAATTGTTAATTTGCTTTATTTTTAACTGCCAAACAATCATAGGGATGTATTGGCAAATGATGATTATTTGGCCATACAAATATATTAGGTAGTTGTTTATTACATATATTATTTTTAATAATTATCTANCCAAAGTGTAAGAAAGAATTTTTGTGGTCTCAAATCATATCACAAAGGCAAAAGATGTCGCAGAGAAATGAAACCATGGAAGAAAGAGAAATACGTCTAACATTGTTAAGAGAAAATTATCAACGAAACAGAAATAATCAGACAGAAGAGCAATTTGAAAATTATAGGGAAATACATCGAATCAAAGAAAGATTATGTAGAGGGAAGAGAAACAAGTGCACAGTTGGATGAAAGAAGAAAGCAGAGTAGAGAGAGAATGAGTAACATTCGCCTAGATGAGCAGGTCATATGAATGTACAAACAAATAAAAACCCAGCAAAGCGAGTACTTGCAGTTATTATTTAATTGTTAGTTATTTAACTGTTATAACAAGTTATTTAATTAAAGAAGAAAGCAGAGTAGAGAGAGAATGAGTAACATTCGCCTAGATGAGCAGGTTATATAAATGTACGAACAAATAAAAACCCAGCAAAGCGAGTACTTGCAGCTAGTATTATATAAAATATGTAATAGAAGTATAAATTAAAACACAATTCAAAAACCCAACAATTAAATTCAATGCTTCTGTTAAGTTCTTATGGTGTAAAGATCTCTAATCGTGCCGTTTAATATATAACAAAGAAACAGTTATAACAGTCGGACTGGACACCGGTCACGTCCNCATTTTATTTATTTATTTATTTATTTTTTTTTACTAAAATTTGAAGTTGGCCATTTGGCCAAATTTAAATATACCGTGTTTCCCCGAAAATAAGACAGTGTCTTATATTAATTTTTGCTCTGAAAAATGTACTAGGTCTTATTTTTTCCAGGAAGAAGAATTCATATTTATTATTGAACAAAAAAATTTCCAAGTCGAACTTAGACGAAAGTGACGAATATCCGGTGTGTCGAACTGCCGCCTTTTTATAGCGTCAACATCGGACTCGATGACCAATTAGTGCTTACTGAACCGTAGCACTATGCAAATGTCATGTGGCGTGTTCCCGGCCGACCAATTAGACATCACCAGCCGTAACGTTATGGAAATCTGTGATTCCCAAGCCATAGTCTTATGCAAATCATGCCGTGTGGCATAATTGTCTGCTGACCAATCAGTGGTTGAACTTTCAAAAAGCCAACGGCCACTGTCAACCATCTGTCGATGACCGTTACGATTAAAAAAAAACTTCGCTAGGTCTTACTTTCAGAGGGAGGTCTTATATTTCGCAATTCAGCAAAATTTGTGCTAGGTCTTATTTTCTGCAGATGTCTTATTTTCGGGGAAACACGGTAGTTACTCAAAGTCTAAAACTTTTGCACACAAACATTTTTAAAGAAAGTATGCTTAATATGCTTACTATGTGGCACACAGACTCAAAAAGGCTTACCATCCCTGCCCTAGGATAAAAGACATAATGAATCAATTATACAATTTGAAATATTTTACTACACTCACATTAGTTCTGGTTTATGGCACGTAAAAATTAGTCTGTCAGACACCCATAAACCCACCTTTGTCACTATGAGTGATCATTACGAATAGTTTGTTACGCCTTTCAGGTTTCAGAACTCTCCTGCATATCCCAACAGGTAATATATATTACCTTTAAGTAAAATGTTATATATACCTTGTTGAATAAGTATAAGTGAGTTTACTCATAATTATCTCAACAATATTCTAATACATTCCAAGTCCTATAATCAACATTTGGTGCATCCTGAACTGGTACCAGATGTTCTCAGGAAGGAAAAAGTGAAGTTAAAGTAAGTAAATCAGATTTGCCAAAAATCTGTTAAATATTTGGGCTATGTTATTTCTAAAAATAAATTAACACCATTAACTGATAACACCAAATCATTACAGGAGTTCTCTCTCCCAAGAAATGTGAAACAATTACAATAATTCATCAGAAAAGTGATGTACTATCACAAATTCATTCCCATGGCCTACCTCTACCGCTTTAAGAAGAGAAACACTAATAAATGCTGTTGCGACAATAATAGTGTAGGAGATGCCATTCATTTTATATTCCACTGTGCGTTGCGGAATGCGTTGATATGAGGATCAACGCATTCCATTCTATACGGAATGCCTTCAAGAAGGTCATAATTGGTCACCGACACTACAAAACATTTTTGATAAGAAAAATCTCTGAAAGTGTTTTGAAAGGTTTATTGAAAGCACCAGGGCTCTTCTGCCAGACTTCTACAGGAAAAAAAAAATTCTTGAGAATGAAAACAAGAACAGACAAGATGAGCAGGAAGACAGTGAAAAATCGGAAAAGTGATGTTATCAGCAATTGACTGATCGGTCGTGTAGAATTCTTCTGCACATAGTTTAGTTGTATAGTATTAGTTTAGTTTTAGATTCTAGATTTAAAAAAAAAAAAAAATTCCCATTTATATGTATTGGGTCCTCACGTACCATGTAATCTGTATTATTATATCATAGTAAGCTGATATTTACATTCTCTCTGTGTGTTAAAATTGTAATCTGTTCCTAATGTTATTGTGACATTGCAGTGTTCAAGGTTAGTTTATACCTACCCATAAGTAATGGGTTTTGCATTTTACTGTAACCGGACCATTCCTCGTAATTGTTAATACTGTATAACAGTCTTGTCAACTTTTGTAATTTTGGTTACTAATAATTTCCGTTGCAGCGCTCTGAGGTCCTAATAACTTTTTCAGCGTTACTTTTCCCCTTTTCCTTTATACTTCTCCCTTCAGAACCCGTCCTTCAACCCTTTCTTCACTCCTTTCTCTTCGTAGTGGGCTAAGTTTGCAAAAGCAGACAGCCCTTCCTCCTCCTTTATTATTATTATTATTCCCAATGCATTGAAATTATTGCCACTATACCAACTGCTTAAGAAAAATTTGGAATTTAGGGAAACAGAAAATTGTCAAAATTTATTCAAAACTGTCAAAAAACACTTATCTGACTCAATACTTGTGATATTCAACCCAAGGAAAGAGAGCATTCTTTACACTGATGCAAATAAAGTGGAGCTAGGAGAAGTACTGAAACAAAATCAAATGATGGAAGACACCACCCTATAGAATATTTTTCTAGAAAATAATTGCCCTATCAAACCAACTATCACATTACAGAGCTGGAATGTTTGGCTATTGTAGAAGTAATTGAATATTGGTACAATTTATAGGGTAATAAGTTCACTGTAATAAGAGACCATTAGGCATTAATGTGGCTCAAATCTATCAAGAAACCTAATTGTAGACTGTTCAAATGATCACTAAAAACTCAGTCAACATGATTTTGAGATCAAATATCAAGCAGGAAGAGAGAATGGTGAAGCAGACTGCCTGTCCTGGAACCCAATGGCTTTTAAAAAAAACTCAATTAGAAAAAGAAATTGTTAAGTCCCAAGCAAGAATGTCTCATAATTTATTACAAAAAAAAAAAAAAAAAAAAAATGTATGAGGGAGAAAGGAAGGATTGTTTGGGTAAAAACAAAATTCCTAAAATCTACATACCAGAGAACTTAAGGCTAAAATTACTTAAAGTCACTATAAGTTTAGTCACAAAGAGAGAAAAAAACTGCTATCCCTAATATCTTTAAGCTACTACTAACCCAAGATGACCAAAGATATTAATTAATATGGCAAAATAGTGCATGGTTTGCCATAAGAACAAAATTAATCAAACATTAAAGCTGGGAGAACTAATGTGGCTTGGTCCAGCAACTAACCCTTTCAAAATTATTGCAATCAACAGAATAGGAGGATTTCAAGGATATATAGTTGACCCCCCTATAACACGGGTTCCTATAGTTTGGATTCCTATATCACTGAGAAAAAATTGCGACAGTATTCGTACAAACATGCTAAAAAAATTCCTATAATTCGGTAAAACGTCATTGCCGACTCGTGTCATGACAAGATTGGTCGAATCTAGACCAACAGCGGATATTGTACAAATCGTTGAGTTTAAACGAGCAGCAGACCTACTAAAAACCATTTATTATTTAACGTCCATAAAAATTATATTTATATTAATGATGTCTCCAAAGTTCAGCNTCTGACAATTTATTATAAACATAACATTATACACATTTAGATTTCTTCTATTTAATACATTATGAATAGCTATAATATATATTTTTTAGAAAAGTTTTAGTGTATTTTTATAATGTGAATGTTCCAAATTACCCTTCTTTATGTTCCAAATTACCCTTGGTATCTCTTGATCCAGGTAGCCCTTGATTAACATAGTTAATAATTCATTGATGCTATCACTTATATCAAAATTGCATTAATCAAATACAGTATCTATGTTAAGTAAAGTTGCATTAATTAAAACTTCTGGTGCATGAAGGGATTGGCACATTTTGTAATTTTGTGCATTAATCAAATACTACATTGAGCAAGGGATACCTGTATAATTCAGTATGTCTTTATATTCTATTTTTTAAATTAAAAAAGACCTTTAAATTCTTTAATTAGATTAAAAATACAAAATTTTTGAAATTTGTAATTTCACTCCAATTACTATTTTTGAATATTGATCATTTTTTAAAATTTAAAACACACATTACTATAGTAACATAACACAAATCACTGCCTAAACAAAAATATTTTAAATGCACAACAAAATTTTTTTTTTAATTTGTATTAATTTCATATTTTCAAGAAAATAAGCTTTGTTAACATGTTTATATAGTAATAATGTTTTATTTTATTATCTTTTATCAGAACTTTTAAATTACATTTTATTTACTCAAAATTATTCTCCCACTCCCTCTCTAATCTTAGAGTTTAAAAATTCTCAAATTTTTCTTATGTAATCAATAGTTTGTAAAATTGAGTGAAGTTGACCTTATATACACTTTCTACTTTTGAAGAAAATTGTGTAATGTTAAAAACCTTCATTCATATTACTTAAAATGCATTGTAATTCATCATATAAAAGTTTAAAACAAATAAATACTAGCAAATAAGCATAAGAATTTTAATGAAATTTTGACTTGATACTCACACTAAATAAGACATTATATATCCAACCAAAACAATAAATCCAACTGATAGTACAACAGATACAGCAGGCAAAATCTGTTGACGAGAAATATTTTCTTGAAGAACATCACCCATCAACACTAAACGATTTACAATTCTTGTAAAAAGTCCTTTTGCATGTTCATCCATTAATAATGCAACTTTTACATTGTAAGGAAGTGCATCAGTGGTTTGAAGTAATTTAGTTAAAACGTTTTCCAGTTCTTGTTTTGAAGAGTTAATCTATTTAAGAAAACCTATATCATTAATATATACAAAAATTATTTTTAGAAGAAGAAAACTACTACCTTCTTTTCTTCCACTTCCCAAGCTGTATTAAGCCACTGATAATATACACGATCTTGTTCTCGTCTCCAAAGCAATACAACATGTAGCAGTGGATCAGAAGGTGCACCATCTCCACTTGATAATGCTTTTACAAATTCAGATTGCTTTTCTTCATATAGAAACATAAATCTATACAAAATATGTATTTTCTTCAAACTCAACTAGTTACAATTTCAAAATATTCACATACTAGCAACATTACTTTAAAATACAGGCAAGCATTTAATTTTTGAATGTTTTCAACATCCATCAGGTTTCAAGGTGTTTTTGATTGAATTCTGCAATATTCAAACATCAACTGACTAGATGATGTTTAAATATTCAATCTTTAAAATTTATAATTCTACACCAAATTCTTACAAAAGTTCAAACATTATCGTGTTAGAACAAATGATTACATTTCTTCTTTAGAAGAATTCAAACTTTCAAATTCTATACATTCTAAAGAGTCTACATCAGTGGTTCCCAAAGTGGGCACTACTGCCCAAAAGGTGAAAATAGGCAAAGGCTGGAGTCACTGACAACCTTTCCCTTTCCTGTTAAAACAGGTAAGAAGAAACATTACATTTAATGGTTTCCAGATGTTGAGAACAATGTATGGTAAGGACACAAAGTGTGAGGTTCATAGAAAAGTTTTTCTAACAATATTTTCAAGCCTTCCTTACACAAGGGAAAATGGGTTAGAGGACATTTGGATATGGTTGAGGGTATTGGGCATAACTTTATGGAACCAAGGGGTGGTGGCTCAGAAAAGTTTGGGAATTACTGGTCTATATAATAATTTATGCTTCCTACTTATCATGGCACTTCATAGTACAATTTTCATGTGTTGGAAAGATCCTCCACATCTCTGCAGTTAATGCATTCCCTTTTTGGGTAATTTATAAATTTCAATTTTTTCTAACATATAAGTTTACAATTTCCTGTAAATTTTATAATTTTTGCTTCCTTGCTGTACACATCTACTTCTGGTTCACTTTCAAATGCTGTCAAGACCAAAGTAGACAAGCCTTTTCTCAATGAATACACATGTTCCTTCATTCGTTCTTTTAATATTTCTGATGTTGCTCCGAAGTATGTTTCTTCCTTCCCTACTCTCCTTTCTTACATATATGCAGAATAAATACCCAGACCATTCGTGGGGTTCATACTATCCTTATTACCTAGAAAATTGTTGGGGACCTTTTACAGTGTATTTTATCTCCCAATATCAGTTCTATCTCCATGTATTTTTCTTAATCTTTGGTTATACCTGGCCATTCTTCTGAGTTTCCATGCTTTGTTTTCCTGCTTTGAGAAACATGCATGTTTCTCAAAGCAGACATGTTTCTCAAAGCAGGAAAAAAAAAAGCATGGAAACTCAGAAGAATGGCCAGGTATAACCAAAGATTAAGAAAAATACATGAAGATAGAACTCAAATCAGGATTTTTATTGGATTTTTATTAGATGATCAATTAAACCTTTCTGATAACCATGATGATAAGCTATATCTTTAATGTAATTAAGCACTGTCAATATCAAGATAGTTTAGAGGTGCATTTACGCTCATCCTAAGAATGCCTTAAACACTGAAAATTTATATCAGAAAGAGTCAGCAGAAGCATTTCAGATATAAAAAGGCTGGTACTCTAGCTTTCTGTATATTTCTGTCTTAACATCTCTGTCCTTGAAGGTGATACATAAGTCCAAAAAATTTACAGAATATTCAGTTTTCTTGTACTAAATGGAGAAATTGGCTGAAGAGATTGTCATTGATCTTATTCAAGAACAAATTCAAATCAGGTTTCTTCTTCTACAATATTAAAAATATCATCAACATATCTACTATATATATATATGGTAGATATGTTGATGACATATATATATGCTAAATATAATGATTAAATTATTCTAAAGAAGAAATGTTAACTTTCAAATTCTATGCATTCTAAAGAGTCTGTATCATAATTAATGCTTCCTACTTATTATGTCACTTCATAGTATGATTTCCATTATGATAAGCTCTATCTTATAACTTGGTGTGTTACTCTTCCTTTTTTTTTTGTACACAATGGTGAAACATTTATACAGAGGTGGGAAGTCCCATAGGAAGTCCTTTGTTTGGTATATTATGTGAATTAGTGTTAAGAAATTCTTGACAACTCCTCACATTAATTCTGACAGTATATATATTATATACTAAGTCAGAAGGTTGAACTTCTTAACTAATTAAGAACAGTGTTAAGAAATGTCAAGAACTTCTTAACACTAATTCACATAATGTACCAAACAAAGGACTTCCTATGGGGCTTCCCACCTCTGTATAAATGTTTCACCCTTGTGTACAAAAAAAAAGGAAGAGTAACACACCAAGTTATAAGATAGAGCTTATCATAATGGAAATCATACTATGAAGTGACATAATAAGTAGGAAACATAAATTACGATAGCTCTTTAGAATGCAAAAAATTTGAAAGTTTAAGTTCTTCTAAAGAAGAAATGTAATCATTTGTTCTATACACAGTAATGTTTGAACTTTTGTAAGAATCTTATGTAGAATTATAAATTTCAAAGATTGGAACATCTAGTCAGTTGCTGTTTGAATATCACAGAATTTGAACAAAAAGACCTGAAGATGGATGTTGAAAATATTCAAAAATGTTTGTCTGTATTTTAATAGTAAAGTTGCTGGTATTTAAGATATGTATTTAAGCAAAAATTTTAAATGATAAATAAAATTGAATTATATAATGTCAACAAAAATCAAGCGAAATTTGATACTCACCTTATCCTATCATTGGGAAAATCTTCACTCACAATAAAATCACGCATAACAGAACGATGAGGATCGTGATTCTGTGTATTATGTGTTATCAAAATAACACATAAACGTTTACGAGTACGAGTACCATCAGGAGGACACAACTGATCAAACAGTTCTTGTGAAGACAGTCGAGGTAATATCAAATATTTATTTGCTTCAATTACATCTCTCATAGTTTGAGGTGCTAGTTCTGTCATACTAAGAGTAGCTATAGGAGATGCAGAATTTTCATTAAATATCAGTAATGTTTCCATTTGTGGACTAACACCAAATCTCTGCAGTAAAGTATTCATATTAGGATTTTCTACATTAACATATGCAAAAGCTGCTCTGAACTGAAATTTGAATGCAACCAGTAAATATCTTAGACGAACTGGTTCAGTTTTAGTGAATAGAAGAACACGAACTCTATTATCTGACCATCCACCCAAAAAGTTATCAACAGATGTTTTATCAACAGGGATAACCAGTTTTGAGGAAAATAATCTACGACTAAATTCAATAATTCTTAATAAACTTAGCTGTTCTTGTTTATAATGAAAGGTTCTACCATCCATAACACCAACTATATATGGTACAGAACTCACTCCAATACGCCGTGCAAGGTCAGCTTCATGTTGTACATGAATAGCAGCAAAACCCATCCCTGTAAAAATGTCATTAAAAAAATAATAATAATTAAACTAGTACAAAGTTTAAATCAATAATAGTAAAAAAAATTCATTAAACAAAATTCAAAACTTTTTCTTATATTTACCTATTGGTTCTAATTCCAGTATAATTTTTTGCCAAATGGGTTCAGCACTGATGCATGGAAAACACACATCACCATAAAACATTACAAGATATGGTTGTGTACTACTTCCTGGAATAATAGTGTTTTCATAGGCTCTGAAATAAAAAGTGTTCAATAATTAAATTATAATCCATAAACTTTACATTAAGCTTTGATAAATCTGGTTAAATCAAACTAAAAACTAAAAAAAAAGTTACATTGGAATGTGAAAAGTAACATTGATATTACTATTAAAATAATACTATGAAGAATTTAACATGTTTTATTTAGTTTTTGAGTGAATATAGTTTATAACACAATATTTTTATGTTCATTCATAATTTTACAAATATCTAGCCTTTTGGAAAGACAGATTTATTGTAAAATGAGTTAAACAGCTAAAATATTTATAAATCTAATTGAAAAATGGCATATTTTTAAAAAATGTGTCTGGAATTAAATCCAATCTAGATGTCAATCTCTCTCTCATTATGGCTATCACTTCATTCAATTGTTGTAATGAAATTACTTGATCCAACAAGTCATTATTTAAAATCTAAAAACATTTAGAAATATAGTATCCATAGTCACGAATCTATTATAAAACAGGCATCATGCATTAAAATCAATCAGTTTATCATTTTTTATAAATAGACTTTTTCTAAATATGTTAATTATATTCTAAAACAATGTCACGGATTTACTGTTAATTAAATTTAAATATCATAATATATAACATCACATTTTGATATCATTTCACTATTTCAATTTTAAATAAAATAAATTCATTTATTTTCACTATAATCATTTAAAGTTTTATCAGAAGAATTATTCCTAAACACTAATAAAGTTTCATTTCCTTTTTCTTTAATTTCAAACATGTCAAATCAAACCAAGACTGATTATTATGAACTCTTGTATCTACAGATATCCCCTGTAAAACATGGTAATTAGGTTCCGAAAAAGTGCTGTGTTACATGAACTCATGCTATATGAAACAGAGGACTAGCACAAAACATAGGGTTAGGTTCCAAAAGTTAGCAAAAGTATACCACTTATTGTAATTACGAAAAATATATTTATTAAAGCAATCAATAATTAATTAACAATCACAATCAAAAGTATTGCATGTTAATATTAAACTTTCCTGTTGACCTTTGTCACAGTGTTATCATGTAAGAACATGATACATCAATTCAAACTTGTAACAGGCACCGTTAAGAAAAGACCATTGAGAAAACGGTCAGTGACATTTTGAATTTATGGCACATGCATCTCAAGTTACAGATGGTTGGCAAACAATCACACCATGTGGTGGACCTCTGATAAAGCTATGACCAGTATAGTCACTGATTGGTTGGCCAGCCTTATATAGTCACTGATTGGCTATATAAGGTCGATGTGGAAGCAGGAAATTCAAGTTTAATTTGGAACTTCAGGTTGGCACAAAGTTCGCTTCGGAGGTTCAGGGTGACAAGTTCATTGTAGATATTCAAGTGTGCATCAAAGTTCGAATCAAGTCTGCATTCATCTCACTGTCTGTTCTTCAACAGCTGGAAGAAGGTTACTTCTAGCCAACAACTCGTTGATTCGTCATAAGGTGTCTTCTCAATGAGCAAGAATGGGAAATATGAACTATCTGAACTTTCCATAGTGTTATTGGTGTACTAAGGTGGTTGCCAATTGTGAAACTACTGTACATTTTTAAACTTTACTACCTTAATCTGAAGTATCAGCAATGTCTTGATTTTTCTCTATTTTTTTCCATAAAATCTAATCTTTTTATGTAGTAACTTTTAATCTAATGTATAAAAACAAAACAAATGTGACAGTCTTATGGGTTTATTTAAAGCACTAAAACCAAGAACAGTGACACCTGGTTTATGGTAAAGCTAGAATAGGAAACTACAACAAGAAAGAAGGAAAATTGTAGAATCAGTTCTCACTAAATAAAACTACACAAAAGGCACAAAACAACATTGAAAATTTCAATATTCTAAACTCCATGGGCAAATATGAGAAACATCCATGCTTACTTGAACAAAAAAATATTGAATGATTGCATTTGCACTTAAAAATTGTGACATTTTGTATGGGGATGTCTCCAATTCTTGAACCATGTTAGAGTGAAATTGTATTATAGAAATGCCATGTTGTATGAGGAATACCTGTATTACACTTTGCAACTTGGAAATTATATATACTTTCATTTGTTTTATTAGATAATCATAAATTTCAAGTACATTAGACATTATTAAAGTTACATATAAACTGAATTTTTATGAATTTTAGTATTTTACTCTACTAAATTTATATTTAATTAATAAAAAAAAATAATTATCCAGTGATTGATTAAAATTTAAATGTGTGGAAACAAAAATTGGTAAAGTTGGAATTATCAGTTAAATAAAGATCTAGAATTTTTAATTCTATACACAAATCAATTTAGTCCTGAACAAATTGTAAAATCAATCAGTGATCTTTCATTACCAATCATACATAAAAGTTGAGTTTTGTTTAGTTATAAAGAAATTTTACAAAAAGTCAGTAAATTTTACTTATAAACCAAGATTCTCATTGAGATTGTTCCGATTACTTGATTACTGGCCAAATATTATAACCTCTTTGCTTAAAATTATCTGTGAATATATAACTTTTTGATTTTTGAATAATCATGAAAAAAAAAAAACCTTAATTTCTTTGTTGCCCAAACTTTTTATGATTATTTTAAAAAAAAATTATTAAAGCAACATAGAATACCTTTAATTAGAGTTAAAATTTAACTAACTTATTTACAACTAAAAATCCAAACTTTGGATTTTTAGTTTTTTGGATTTTTAGTTGTAAATTTCTATCCACAACAATTATGTACTTTGTTATACTCTGTACATCTCAGCAATTTTTGCTAGAATTTTACAATCTTTTATTGTAAATTAAAAAAAAAAAACAATCATTTTGAATTTTATTATGAAGGATATAATTTTATTCAATTTCATATATATATATTATGCAGATTAAGGAACTATAAATGATTGATACTTCATAAAAAATAACATACTGAAATCAAGAGGAAAAATTTGTCAAGTGCATTTATTATAAAAGAAAACAAACAAAATTTAAACAGGATATAAAACAAATGAAAAACACATCAAAATAAAAACAATTACTTTCATAAATTTTTTTATGAAAGTAGTTGGCACCAATAAATTAATTAATTAATGTAAAAAAGAAATTATACAAAACAAATTAATTTATTTGTCACTAATTAAAAATTGCACTTTTATTTAATTAATATTCATATTTAGTTATTATAAAGTTATAAAATAAAACTTACCTTCCAGTGATGGTATACTTATGATAAACAGAACCTTGATTAAAATTAAATTGAAACTGAAAACCGCCTCGATTAAAAATTGATTCAAATGGATCAAAATCAAATCTTTTAAAATCTGAATAATCAGGCTGCTGTCTGAAATTAGGAGTATCTTCAGTAACTCCATGATAATCAAATTTTCTCCTCCTTTCAGGATCCATCAAAAGCTAAAGTTTAAAAAAAAATCTGTATTTAACAACTATAAATGCTTCATAATAAGTACAAATATGAGCAAATTGCTTAATTAATAATTAAAGTACAGTAGAGCCTCGATTATCTGACCCCCTATCAACCGACCCCTCGGTTAATCGACCGTCCTAGTCGGCAAATTTCAAATGTCCGCTATTGATGTGGCGCTACAATATTTGGCTACTTTAATATTATTTTTACATGTTTTAGCTGGCAACACTGGATCGACCATGAAAGGGAGCCAGTATTTAAACGAGGCTTAAGTTTCTAATTTTTAACGATACAATAGCGATGATTATTATTTTAAAAAATTTTTGTTAGGCTTAACATCGATGAAAATTCAACGCAAAGTAGGTTAATAGCGATATACTAATATACTAATTACATGGGATATAATAATATACTACACTAATAATAGATTTTTTCAT